TCCCGATTTGTATTGTTTAATGGACATTTGAGCTTGAATACCGTTCGTTATCTACATATATTTCATTCATTGAAAGGGCAGCTCCCCCTTTTTTGTTGCAGTATAGTCAATTCAGGGTAATGTATTAATAAAATTTGGTACTGAAAGATGGAACACCTACCCTCCCCCACTTACACCTCCCACGAAATAGGATTTTCGAGTATGTTGAATTTTTTTTCTCTTGCTGCCCCCCCCCCTTTTTTCTTTACAAATATTTTTGATATAAACAACAAATTTAAGCATTTGCTGTTAATGTATATATAATATGAATGTGTAATAAAATATCTAAAGAAAACCTGGATAGACATTTAAATATTTTAAGTAAAAAATTTATTTATGAAAATAAAACACATTATTTGTGAATATTTTTTAAGCCTATGGATAAAATCTTCATAAAACTAGTCAGAACTATGGAGAACATGTTAGTCAGACATATTTGGGAAACTATTTTTTTTTCAATATTTAGACCAATCCCGATCAAAATTAACACAAAATAAATAAGATGAAATTATTGCCTTCTTTAAGTATTTACCACTAAGAAATTTATTTATTTATCAAGTTCAATTACGTTTTAACGCGTATTACACCTACACAAACTTGTATTCCTTGTGAAAATATTATCTATTATCAATTATTATAAAATTCTGGTTGGGATCAGTTTAATTTCGATCGGGATCGGCTAAAATTTGTAAAAAATAATTTCTCTAAAATTTCGCAATTTCGTTTCAATTTTTTTTTCAAATATGATTGTCTAACATATCCTTTGTAACTGTGACTTGTTTTTTGAATATATTATCCATGTGTTTTGAAGATATTCACAAATAATGTACTTTTTCAAAAAAAAAATTTTAGTAAAAGAATTAAAATGTCTATCTGGCTTTCCTTCACATATTTTATGAGATATTTACATTATGCATTCATTAACATCAAATTTTAAACTATAAAGCATCTTATTTGCAAATAAAACATTTTTTTTTTCATTTTCTATGAAAAATTGGAGAAAATTCTTATAAAATAATTAAGAGCTAGGCCTTTCAATGCTGAAACCATGACTTAAGGAAGCTCTAAACACTGCACACTAAAGAGTTCTATTCGTAGGGTATTTTTATTGAGTGATTTGCCCTTAGAAGAAAAATAGTATAAATGGGAATCTACAGTTAATGACACAATTTCTTATGAATTAAAGTATTCTTAATGTTATGTTAGACCAAGATTAAGTAATTGAATACATTATTTTCATTAATTTTCCTGATGCTAGTAAACAACAGTGATTTCTGTTCATAAATAGTTCATTGTCTTTGAACATTTTTTTCTGAAGAAATAAGGCAGGTACCCTATGTTGAAAATGAACTTGATACACTGAATATGTGCACCTTTATATGATATATTTTTCTCAAAGCCCAAAAAGCATTTTTCATTAGTGTTTAGAGCTTCCTTAACATGGATTTCTTAAGACCAATGGAATAAAATTTTGGTGTGGCATTCCTCCTTAAGAAAGTAATAATGGGTCCAGTTCCTAATGAATAGAAAGCCTCATTTGCATTTTGTATAAACAAGAGCATAAATTATCGATATAAAATTTTATTCAGAAGATAAATATCATCAATGTTCATTTTTGCATACTTAAACATACATCAATAAAAAGAATTGTTATTACTTTAAAAATATATAACTATATAAATCAATACTAAAAAAGTCTAACATTTCCAATGTTTTACTGAGCGTTCATAAAAAAAATGATGTTTGACTGCAGAGTGAGATATTGGACATTGGACTGCTTATGTCACAATGTTGGCAGGATCAGCTAAATCTTATTTTCATCTGTTGGTAAGCGACAGTAACAGAATTGACCAAGTTTAACGCAGTGCAGGTAAAGGAAATTAACATCATAGAAGCCAGCACGAGTACAGTCATAACTGAGGTAATGTGTAGTAGGCCTCTCGGAGCAAATAGAGAATAAGTATCAGCTGTCAACATGCAGTAGACCTGAAACAAAGTGAGAAAAATTATTACATCACTTATGTCAGCTAAAGGTACTGTGAGCGATTTCACAAAATAATAAGGTTATAACCCTGCTGCAATTCTTTTATTTAGAATGTGTAAATGTGACCTTGAACTTACCAAAATGACTTTGGTTAAAAAATGACAGATCTTTGGACATGAGTAATCTAAGAGTGAAATATGGACATCCAATTTTTCTCCATTAATACAAAATAATAGACTTGCATTTTTTTTCTGCCAGAGACCTTGAACTTGTCACAATGACCCTCAGGTCAAAAAAAATTTTTGTAGCAAATTAAAGCTCAGTAACAAAGTTATTGACTAGACAAGAATGTTATCTCTTATCTGCCAGTGACTTTGAACTTGCCAGAATGACCTTGGTCAAAGTCAAGACAAACTTCCAGGTCATAAACAATCTTTGTAGCAAGTAAGAGCTTCCAATGATTCTCCATTACAAAGTTACAACCTACACAAGTGTTTTATACCTTTTTAAGCCAGTAACCTTGAACTTGCCAGAATTGCCATGGGCCAAGGTCATGACACACTCTCAGGTCTTCAATAATCTTTGTACCAAGAATGAGCATCAATGATTCTCCATTGCAAACTGATATCCTGGACAAGAAGTTTATATCTTTTCTGTCAGTGACCTTGAATTTTGACAGACTGTTTGATGGGATCCTGCCAATCAAGTCGGGTTCATCAGGACATTTGAGCAATATAAGCCTTAAAGATTCAACAAACTTTCATAAAATAATTATCGTTAATATTAATAAATTAGTTTAAAACTATACTAAACATAACTATTTACATCATATTGAAACACTGTACTGAACAAAAGTAGTTTTGACCTCGACTTGTTAATAACAGCTGTGGCTAAAAATAGTGATTGGGTCATGTGGGGATTTTTTCTTTACACAGCAATGACTGTTTACAATCTAACATATAAGAAAGGATAAGATAGGCTAAGATCCCTTTTTGGCCCCTGGTTTGGGGTGTCTTTTAGAATGTTGCAACAGTTTTTCAGTTAAAAACCTGATGTCACCCCTGCCATAAATTGAGTATTGTTTCTAAGTTATGGGATACACAGAGGCCACAGGAAGGTTAGGAAATATGTCAGTTTCCGAATTTTCTCATTTTATGCAAATTTTCATTGATTTTACAGCACATTTTGGTTCAGAAAACATAGAGCACAAGCTTGCCTATCTACCAAATTTATATATTTCATACACTAGTATCAGATGAATCTTATGTATAAAAATCTCAGATAGGCAGCCTTGTGCTCTATATTTCCCAAAGTGAAAAGTATCTCAAATTTGACGAAATGCGACCAGAATTGAGGAAATTCTGGAAAATAACCTACTTCTACACCCTCTTGTGGCCTCCATGTAAGCTTTGAATCAAAATTAGTGCTGGTTTTAAAACAAGCATTATTTTTAATTCTTACCTACAAACTATCACAATTTTAACTGTGTTCTGATTTTTACATCAAATAAGGGGCCAGATTCGGCCGTTACCATACCTTGTCCTTTCTTTGAAAGTTTTTAGATTATTTATTTGAAGGACTGAAATGGGGGTTCAACAGTTATTTTATCAATACGACCGATAGGTCTTTTACACGACTGGACCACTCATTTACTAGACTGGGTCAAACATGCCTTAGTGTCAAACCCTGTTGAACTAGCCGGAATGACCTTGGGTCAAGATCTTGACACACCAACAGGTCATAAACATTCTTTGTACCAAGTCTGAGCTTCCAATGACCAACAAGTTGGCACCGATAGACTGACAAGGTGATTCGTATATATTCCCCCAACCTTTATTGTGGGGGTAGAAGACCAGCATGATGAATATAAGACAGAACATTCAGGATCTAAATGAAAAATGGGGACTCCTGATACACGTATCAGAGTGGAAGGAGATGCTCAATACAAAAATGCCACCTTCAGTGCCATTGGGAAAACCCAATTCTAAGGTGCTACCCAAGTGACATATACTGTGTTCTTAGAAGAAGAATATTGTAGCAGTGTTCTATGGAAATAAATTTTGTAAGAAAGGTGAAAGCTGAGAAATAAAGGAAAGGAAGTTACCTGCCCAGCCATGAGGACTGCACTGTCACCATTCCTCCAAAGACAATGATTGTGGATGAGAAGAGATGGGCTGCAGAAAGTGAAAGTGAGCTGCAAAGTGATGACCATCCACTAGTCATCTTCTATTTCACCAGTGATGGTTAAGGTGCCACTCTATACGGATTATCTGAAAAACAAGGAAATTTCATTGAAAACCTAAAAGACTTGCTGCAATTCTTTGATTCTCAAAGAAAACAGACAGCTATGGCTTAATTAGCAGCCACACATTTCTGAGAAGAATAAAAGAATCCACACAAAGAAAACTTGCCGTTGACCTAAAGCTTCAATGCAAAACAGAGTAAAAAAAAAATATCAGTACTATTAGCACTATTCCATGAGATTTACCTTTGATTACCGTATATACTCGCCTATAAGTCGGTCCGCCTATAAGTCGGTTGTATGTTTTTAGATTATTTTGGAGGGATTTGCCAATGACCCGCTTATAAGTCGGTACAACATTTTGCCAGAATCAGTTGACAGTTTCAAATCAATGCTCTAATGTTTTAACCGGGTTTCGATTAATATTTTTAGAAATGACGCCGATATTCATTTTTAAATCATTAAGAAAAATACATGATGCACAATTAAGATAAAAATAAAGTTATTAAAATAAGTAAATACTTGTACTTTATGTATAATCTTAGAATACATAAATGATATAATATATCCAGACTTTGTTCAACCATAATCATGGGACATGTTTATAAAATACTACATTTCACCGTCCAGAAAAATACTAATCTTTTTATGACTCGCCTATAAGTCGGACATAGAGTTTTGGACCAAAATTTATCTCCCAAAAAACCGACTTATAGGCGAGTATATACGGTAAGTGGGCCATGTCTTCTACCATCAATTCAATCATAAGCTGCTACCAGAAACAGTGTGGAAAGTCCTGTCAACTTACCGGTAATTCCTTTTCCTGTTGATGACTGAAAAGCAATGAGTGGAAATTTCAGTGTTGCCTAGTGACTATGAATTAAACATGACAGAAGAAAATGTTTGTTAGAAGATTATTGACTTGACTTTTAAGTCCAAATAATCTTGCTAGCTAAAATTAAAAGACTGTTCCAAGGAACACATGTGTCGCCTGATGAACAGCATCATTATTTAAGATTAAAAGAAAATCTAAGGGTGGTCAAATATTATTTGATACAAGCATTATGAGGGTTGTTAAGAGATTATTAGTACATAGTGTTTATTTTTCTTTCCAAGTAATGCCTTTTGGTGAAAAATGGCATATACGTTTGACAAACACTAAGAATTAATAAAAGCAACAAATATTTTACAAATATTTTATTTCTTCTTTTCAATGGTATATTAATGGGTAAATAGAAGGGGTACCCGGTGCCATCACGAAATCATATATTGAAATATGTTATACCTATGTTCCAACTCCCAGTGGACCCATATACAGCAAGAGCGAAAATAATTCAAAATATATATCGGTATTTATTTTTTCAATTTCATTTCAATTCATTTTGTGCAAGCTTCTTAGAATTTCAATCAGAAATACGGAGATCATAAAAAAATCTAAGCTTGGTATAGATATCTGAATACATCAATAAAATAGATTTTGATGTCAACACGACACAGCAAGCATACCTAGAATTTTACGTAGCTCTGTGGAGAACTCTTTTCCAGACTAAAAGATCTTCTAAAACAATAACAACTAGTGCTAACTGTAACGGGAACTGTTTCAGATGTTCCCCAAACACTTCCCCATTCTCTTATGGGCCCCATTCATTACAGGCTTCATTTCATTATGCAATTCTTTTGTTTAATAAATCTATACTTTATTTTCAGTAGTATTTATTCGAAAAACAACACTGGTATAGTTATTCGAGTATTAACCAATTGGATTTCAGCGCATGCTAGGCCTGAGTATCGCAAACTACCTAACGATACGATACATATCATGATACGGTCATGTGATATACAACATGTACCATGATACAGCTGTCACCAATTGAATTAAGCTTTATCTAAACATATAATTCTTTGCTAACTCCACAGTTATAGAAAATATACAAAGAATATCTTGATAACCCTTATCAAAGTTAATAAAAGGTGGATTTATAGTCTTGATATTGTATTTTTTCTTTGCTACCTTTTTTTAGCCATTTTAAAACATTAAAATTTGTTAGGTTTAATGTAGAAGTTACAAACAAAACAATGAAAATTATCTTCTACTGTATCACAATACATACATGGCAATACAATACGCGTATCGTCAGCCCTTGCGATCAATACGATCGATGTATTGCTGTATCGTTACACCTCTAGCGCATGCACATGCCCGTATTTTCTAAATATTTCATATTCCTTCCTCGTGAAGAGACTCACAATATATAGCTATGTAAGAAATCTAAAGATTTTCATTGAAAACTATGAGAGGTACAGCCATATAAGTATTAGCAAATCAGAATCCATGTTCTTGCATTCAATTTTCATAGTAGCACAATGTAGGAACCCATTACACCTATCTATATTCTGAATTCCATCCAGTTTTGTTAAAAACTAAGAAAGTTACTACTGTAACAGCCATTTAAAGTTTAAGCCAATCAAATTGCAGCACACTTGCATGAGCATGTTTTCACAATATCTCATATATTATATCAAAATGTAGAGCCTTGTTGTGTATGACTATGTTTTAAATTTCAAAGCATTTCATCAAAAAACACAAAGGTTACATGTATTGAGATTTTTTGTGTCAGTCAAACAGAGCAAAGCACACATGCATGCACAAGCTTTCTTGCTAATTCAACCACCTCTTCTTGTCTACACCACTAATATAAGTCTATACAATGAAGTTCAAAGCATATCATAAAAAAACAGGAAGGTTAATGGTGTTTCAATTGCTTCAGTCATTTCACTCCTTGCACGCGCACGCATGTGCATGTAAGTGTGGGTAAAATGACCTTCCTTCTGCACATCTACACAACATGCCTGTTAACCCTAAAAAGGTTTCATCTCAATCAGTTGATTAGTTTCTGTGATGACAGAGAAAGAAGCATTAAAGCTTCCAGACTGTCTCAACATGGTAAAGATCTATGGCTGGCATGAGATGAAAATGAAGAAGCAATGCTGCTTTAGGTCAATAGACATATGCAAGTTTATAATTCCATTGGGACATGTCTAATTATCCTATCAATTAGAAATTTTGCATAGCTGTTTTATTTGTTCTTGTTAAAATGTTGACAAATTTTCATGAATTTATGTCTTTCTTTTATGGAGTAAAAGTAAATGTCTCATTAATTTCAAAATAGCCCTTATATAGCAAAGAAAAAAAAAATCCACAAATAGTAAGACCAATACAGAATAGCATTTATCATATAAAATCTGACAATAGATATATGATTCCCCACCCTTCAAAGCTAAAGTGAATTATAAAATTGAAATTAACAAGAAGTCTGTGAGCCAATGTTCACTAGTAATACCCCTGCTTTGATGTGAATATACATTCTGATGTGAATATACACAAGTTCAGTTATGGACAGACACAAGGGTGAACAAGAAGTTGACATCGGATTCGTACAAAAATGAATCCCACCATATGACATGCCTAAACAAAGAATGTGCTAAAATTTCAAGCATCTGCAATCAGTAGTTGCTGAGAAAATTGGGACCAAAATTTGTTACGTATGGTACGGACAGACACACGGATAAACAGGAAGTTGACATCGGATTCGTACAAAAATGAATCCCAACATATGACATGCCTAAACAAAGAGTGTGCTAAAATTTCAAGCATCTGCAATCAGTAGTTGCTGAGAAAACTGCGACCAAAATTTGTTATGTATGGTACGGACAGATGCACGGATAAACAAGAAGTTGACATTGGATTCGTACAAATATAAATCCTACCATATGGCATGCCTAAACAAAGAATGTGCTAAAATTTCAAACATCTGCAATTAGTAGTTGCTGAGAAAACTGCAACCAAAATTTGTTATGTATGGTACAGACAGACGCACGGATAAACATGAAGTTGAAATCAGATTCGTACAAAAATGAATCCCACCATATGGCATACCTCAACAAAGTGTGTGCTAAAATTTCAAACATCTGCAATTAGTAGTTGCTGAGAAAACTGCAACCAAAATTTGTTATGTATGGTACAGACAGATGCACGGATAAACAGGAAGTTGAAATCAGATTCGTACAAAAATGAATCCCACCATATGGCATACCTCAACAAAGTGTGTGCTAAAATTTCAAGCATCTGCGATGAGTAGTTGCTGAGAAAACTGTGACGAAATATTTGTTACGGACAGACAGACAGACACACAGACAGACAGACACACTAGGGTAAAACAGTATACCCCCCTCTCCTTCGGAGTGGGGGTATAATTAAAATAATTATTTTTAATAAATATATCTTTATCCCAGATATCTTCCAAAAGAGATTTCAGTCTCTCATCAGTCTGTATCGATACTTTTGGTATACCCATCCTGATGTCTTTTCATTGTATTTAAATTTCAGTTTGTGTGGTTATATTGCATACAGTTTCAAAGTACAGTGTCATGAGCTCATATACAGTAACATGTGATATAAATGCTAATTATCAAAATCCTGCCTCTCAAAATCAAAAAAAAAAAAAAAAAAATAATAATAATAATAATAATTCATTCAACCGCCAGAGTGATTTTATAAAGCCAAAGGTCAAGGTCAACTGAATTGTAATGTAACGAACTCACTTGCATTGAACTCTCTTTGTTTGAAAAATCAGTTTGTTTGAAATGAATTTGGTTTCTCCTAAAATGCTGGTGCAGTTTCTTTGCAATAAATACTCGTTTAGATTGAAATCGGTTAACTTGAAAAACTCTGTTAATTTGAAGTGATTTTGGGGTCCACTGAACACAAAGCTTATAGCAGTTTTGATAACGGGTACATTGAAGTTGCCAATTGCGACGAGTGGACTCGGGTGACTGACTATATACGACTAGCACGTGTTAATTTTTCAAAGGTGATTTGATGTTGGTGGACCTGTACAAATTTAATTATGTGTTGTATAGATAAAACAATAATCATTGAGCATTTCTCACCGGAACATATTAGTCGCCATTTTTATTTTCTAACTATGGCATTTAGACTGACATGGATAAAATATGCAGGGGTGTCATGTGTAAATTGGTGTGTGGAGAATAGGGCTGTGTATTGACCAAAATATTTCGATAAGATATTTTATAAAGCAATACTTTTTTCGTGTATAAATAGTCTTGATAGTTTTCTAACACAAATCAAAAAAAAAAAAAAAAATAAAACAGTAAAAAAAATTTAGGACTTTTTTGAAAAATAGAGATAAGTACATTTCTGAAACACTGCATGTAATGTTATGTAAAAATATGAATTCTCACATGTATATTTTTTTTTACTGTACAGTCAAGCCTCATTACCTTGAACTTGAAGGGACCGAGAAAAAACTTCGAGATATCTGAGGATTCGAGATATCGAGGGTAAAATATTTAAAGAATAAGTGGTTGGGACAGCAAATCACTTTGACATATCCATGGTATTCAAGATATCAGTGTTCCAGATAACGAAGTTCAACTGTATCTACATTTTTTATGTAATTCATAGCACACAGATATAATGAAATTCGGTTAATTTGAAATAAATCTCAAAGTCCCTTAAATTTCAATGTAAACGAGTTTGACTGTATATGGTATTTTACAAAAGCAAAAGTGCCAAGCAATGCAAGTGCAAAGTATCAAATCCATTCCTCTTACAGTTCTCAGGATCTAGGGTATGACAGACAGACAGACACCATGTAAAGTGATCTCTAAGTGTCGCTTTTACCAAAATTTTTTTTTCATAATTTGTTTTCTTACCTCTCTGAAGAGCATGACAAAGGTTACATAGGTGATAGGTAGAAATACATGCATTAGATGTATTGGTATAATCCTTTTAGTGAGTAGATTGCATCATGCATTGTTTATCTGCCATTGCTGATCTTTAACAAGGGAGACTTCTCCTGAAATAAGAAAAATTCAAAAGTGAAATTACCTGTTACTCTTAAAGGGACATAGACACAGATTCGACATTTTGAAATATTTTCTCAAATTGTCTGTATTATATCATGACATATATGTGGCTATAGCATTTCACATGGAAATATAATAAAAAACTTATTTTATCTGTGAATTATTGAAACTATGAATTTCGGGATGCGTTTGATTGACATATCACATAAGGATGAAGTTTACTTTGTGAAAGTGCAAGGATGTGTCAATCAAATGCATCCCTAAATTCGTAGTTTCAATAATTTCCAGGTAAAATAAGTTTTTTTATGATATTTCCCTGTGAAATACTATAGCCACACATATGCCATGATCTAGTCGAAAATTTGAGAAAATATTAACTTCAAATCTGAGTCTATGCCCCTTTAAAGTTCATACACAAGGAAATAATTTCACTACATTTTACTATAAAGCCTTGATTAAATTAATCAATTAATATGACCCTCACTAGATAAAAGATGAACTTCAAGCAAAAATGAATGATGCTTGGACAAAAATTTGAGATAAGAAATAAAATATATTCCTTATGCAGCTTTTAATAGAAAAAATTGATATTATTGATAGGTAAGATACCTTCAATCATGTGGATTTCACATGCTGATAAACAGTTTACACACCATCCAGGAAGTTGCATCATGAACACCTAAATAAAGAGTATTCCTTAAATTCATTGATTGCCCACAAGTATAATATTCCTAATATTTGAGTCAAAAATAAATACTGTAGGCCTAAAATGAGAAACCGAAAAAGAAAACCTGAAAAAAAAAGGTCTCTTTCTACAAACAACAACAACTGACTAAGTTCATTTTGATTTGCTATTCCTGGCTCTAAGCTAAGCATGGCATAACAAGGGTCTACTGGAAAGAAAGGGTAAATTATTCATATGGTAAAAAATTAACAAATCAAACTTTGTAAATAAATACCCAAGCATTTGGTTTTGTCTTTGATTTCGACAAAATGTTATTGATCTCCAAAAATTTCTGTTTATGTGTGCTGAGCCACAGTAAAATTTTAAATGTTGTAGAACTGTACATGTGTATCCATATCTAGATTCAGTAAGAAATTTCTAGTCATTTGACAAGTTAATTTCAAAGTTATACCAAAGTTTGATTAACAACGTTATGGTTAATAAAATATTATCCAATTTATGCTTATAATTATATTATTAAAGTGCAATTTGTCAAAGTAAAAGAACAAGTGGCCATGGGCAACAATGCTCACCAGAGTCACTATGGCCTTGCTGTTCTACTTTTCTTTTTACTACACATGATGATGTATATTTATTCATATGTAAAAATTTGATTGTCCATTGTGGCCCCACCCTACCCTGGGGGGTCATGATTTAAACAAACCTGAATGTACACTAAGTAATGAAGCTTTCAGAGAATTTTCATTATCTGGCCCACAGTAATGAAGCTTTAAAATTCACAGAAATTTCATTTTCTGGTCCACTGATTCTTGAGAAGAATTTTTTTTAAAGATGCCATTAAATTTACAACAATTCTTAATTATTTCCCCTTGAAAGAGGGTGTAGCCCTTCATATGAACAAACTTGAATTTCCTTTACCCAAGGATGCTCTGTGGCAAGTTTGGTTTAAATTGGCAAAGTGGTTCTGGAGAAAAAGATGAAAATGTGAAAAGTTTATGTGGCCGCCTCCAACAACAGTGACAGACAACAGACAAATTTTGATCAGAAAACCTCTCTTAAGCCTTTGGCTCAGGTGCGCTAAAATAAAAGATGGAGAAATAAAATTTATTGTTAATGACAGTTTTACTTATGTATTTTAAAACTCTTTCTCAAATACCATGGATATGTCTAAGTGCTCAAGTTCAGTGAGTTTATGAACTTTACCCTCTATTCTTGAAACCTCAATTATCTGTTTCTCAAAGGGTTTTTTTTTTTTTTCAGTCCCATCTATTGCCATAATAGGCTTATCTCCAGGGGGTCCTCATGACTAGCAATTACATAAGCAATAAGGTTTTTGGATATAAATATATTAAAATAAATAAAACTGAATAATTAAATGACAAGATATGCATTCGACATTGGGTGACACAATTAGGGAAAATATTCTGGCATGTTACCCTCGAAGTAAGTGATGTGAAATTTACTTGTCTGAACATAACTTTTACTTGTATGAAAATATTTCATAAAAGACCTATTTAACAATTTGAAAAAATATTGTTACAGTACATTACAATAGTCTATAATACATTCATGGAGTCTGTTTTTGAGATTTCGAGTGGACACATCTATTGCAAATTACTAAACTGTATCATCCTATCCTAAAGTAGATGTAAATCATGTTATATAATTACATGTATGAAAGAAAAATAGTAACAACAAGAAATAGCTGACTATATGACTTCAAATTTTTCTTTGCCTTCTTTTGCTTATCCTTTGTAGCCTAAATTGTCTTTTGCTAAAGCTCTCCTGCCAGATAATAAAAACCCAAATTTCCTTCAGTAAAAGTACACATTTCAAAGTTACTGTAGTTCTAAGTAGTCAACTTCATGGTACTTTAAATATTAAAATTAAAATTGTGACAAATGCCTGAAAAACATCAGATATTTCAGACAAGTTTCATAGTAACATTGTTACTGATCAAGTTTGACAACCAGGGCCATCATTATTACAAGCAGGATCAACATTTAACTATTTACAACCACATGCATGGCATGTTTTCATTTTGAACCTCCGATAAAAAGTTGACAACAAATTTTAATTCTTTAAGTTTTCATGCTCAGCTATAAAAAATTCTTCCTAGAAAAATATCCCTTGTCAAATCGGACAAGTGGTCAGCAATTATCACTTGTTCATGAAAAATTTTACTGGTACATGTACTGGACAAGTGGATGAGCGTACAATGTCGAGCCCTGGAACTATGCCCCATTTTTTGTTTACATTTGCTTAGCAACCAACAGCATTAAATCTCGAACCCGAGCTATTATAATATGTAGCATAAAAGCACACGAGGATGATCAAGAGGGTGTTACAACTGTTTCTGTTTTGTTGTATTTGTTTCTGGCATTTGTTATTAACTGTTTCTGATGTGATGTGAATTCTTCATGGTATATATAGTGAAACTATATTTGTGATAAAAACATGATAAAAAAAATTATTAAAAAATGTATTTCAAAAATGTAATTACTAAATGATACTAGTAGTATAAAAAATCATTTTTAAGCATTTCAGTGTAGATTATAAACATCGCACCTAATGGGTCCTAGAAAAAACTTTGTGATATCCTACAATTCAAGATACTGAAGTTAAAATATGTACTTGAAGCATAGCATAAATTTTCCATCTTTAACGCTCAGTTATACCTTGATAAATATTGCTAATGAGAGGAGGAGTGCAATTAATATTTCTATCTTCATGATAACACAAATCTAAATAAGTCAGTTAATTTTATAGCTAATTTAGCCTTCATTAAGTTCAACAAATTTCTTTAAATCTGTTCAGAATCAGACAAGTAAAAAATATTTATGCATTCGGACACAGGGTTTAACATTTATAAGGCATGTCTGATCGACACTGACTAGTAAAAGTTTGGTCCTGTCTTAAAATTGAGTGTACGTCTGACATGTAAATATAACAAGTGTGCAGCATGTGTGTTTTATTCATCTGCTCTCATGTACACACAGGATTCGAAATACCCCAAACTGTAGGGGTCTACAAATACAGTCATGACTTTAATGATTTTGGGTTAAAATCAAAAACAAGTAATTGTAATTGGAAGTATTCTATCAATACTAATATGTCAAGTTTCATCTACCAATATAATGCTACGACATTGACGAGAAAATACCATGCGTTTTCTACATGGGCATTTCTTCAATCAATTTGTTTATGTACCAGTATAAATTTATAAGAATCTTCTTGGGTTTTAATGTGATGAAGGAGGGTGCATTTAGTCACCAGGATGTTGTAACACGGTCTTAAAACTCTTTAATAGCTTTGGGGCATGAACTACTTTTAAATTAGTTAAATAACCTAACTGCGTCTCCAGACGAGCTCTCACCACACCTCTCTTAAACCGGGTCTGAAACACATTATTATTTTAATGATTAGAAAATTCTATCTACAACTACTTCCTCTTCCAGATGACTCCAGTCTATTGCAGTGCAAACAAAAAATGAGTTTTTATATTTTTTGGTTTTGGTGTTTGGTATCTCCACTGCTTTACTGTTGTTACAAGGATTACAGCAAGTTAAACTATGAATTAAATTTTTTATTTTATACATACATGTGTACCATGCATGTTCATGACTTGTTGGTTGTCAAATGTGTGGATATGTCATGCGAGGAACAGACGTAACTGTGCAAGGTAAAATACCATTAGTCGTGAAGCGCGGGTTTGTGACATTCGGAATACAGATGTATTTCTGCTGTTTGAGTAACCATACACCACTTTGTGTGCGGTTAGGCATGGATAAGTATGATTACTTCACATTGTGCTGAATAATTACCAATCAATTATCAAGTTTACCTGAACTGATCTTCTTTGTTAATCATTCAAGAAGTAACTGTTTGGTCACAAATTAATGAGTGTTGTATATAGCCCTAAAACTTTTATAACTTTGAGTGCAATTGCGCAGAGAAAGACACATTTTCAAGAGAAATTTTTTCATGAACATGATGAATTGTTTTGAGACGAGCTAAAAGTTGAAAATTATCACTGCACGAAAGTGCGATTTTCTGCACATCTTGAGAAAAAAGCTAATTAAAGAAATAAGTTTCATTTAGTAATTAAATAAAACTACTTCAGGTAGGTAAATAAAGCTATGTAGGTAATTCAAGCTACGTAGCTAAAACTAGTGATTGTACCAGCTAAATGACTGTGTATCAGTGTATCGTCCAAGTGTAGAATTGTAGATATCTTTTCACTAAAACTTTGAATTTGATAGATTTGAACTTAGGCGACTAACCGTATGTTTCTTACACATTCTTCTAATACTTCCACAACAAAACACTCGCCTCAACCATTCTTATTGTCATCTCCCTCGGGAGATGACATATTAAGTTCGTTTTCCGGAAGTGAAGTCCTAGTGTAAGCTGCCATCGATAAGCTGGTGGTCTGGCAAATGACCTGACGATGACACGATTTCTAAATATAGAGATGTAAACAAAATTGAGCGTTCTGCCTTATTATTACAAAATGGTCCATCTTAAAGTAAAACTACACAGGGTTCATTAGGATAATAGAGGTTGGATTGCTGGGGTGGTGGTCTTCAAAATACACATAAACATTGTATCTAGGTTATTGCGTAAAAAGTTTTCCTATTTCCCTTGGACCATCAAAGAGTGGAATGATAGTCTCGGCGAATACACCTGACACCTTTAGGTCTCAGGTGATCATCTTCTAACCATAAGTAAGAAATATTATTAATATTAACCTTTTAAAGTTTTAATTTTTGGTCATATCATGCGCACCAAATTTGCCATAATAATCAGCTTGTTGATTGTGGACAATACTTGGCAGAAGCAGAAACGATGGTCAGCGCGCGGGGATCAAAATACACAAAACATGGCATATTGAATGTATCAGCTAAGGCGTGGATCCAAGATTTACTGACGAAAGAAAACAGTGAAAACATTCACGTTAAATGCATATATATAATGGCAAAAACTTAACTTTTATATGTACTTACTGCCGTATATGAAAAATAAAACAGAACTTATTCAAAAAAATAAATTTCGAAGAAAAGAAATATTACCTAAAAGCACAATTTAAGCAGAAACATAAATTAATGTCTCTTGATTTAAGTAGCTCAGTGCTGCAGGCATTGGAATAAAAATAGTAAAGAATCATTATGAGTATTTTCTCGGATGTCTTCACTATTCTTTTTTTTCTTTAAAATTACTCCTGCGGAAAAGTTTTAGGAAAAACACAATTTTCTTGACCTGGCTCAGGTTTTTTAAGGATTAATAAATAAAGCAATTTATCAATTTAATTCTTTATGCAATTCTAATTTGCTTTTTTTTTGTTAATGGAAAAAAGTAAAAAAAAAAAAAAATCACTCCTCGTATTCTTGAAATAAAGCCAAAATTATAAAATGTGTGTCTCGTGAAACAGCGTATAAAATCGATGTTGGTAGATTGAGGTTCTTTTCAGTGTGCCAATACTTAATTTTAAATGGTAACTTTTCAATTTTATAACCTTTCTATGCATGTTATTTTCCCACAAGCGTATACGTGTACATGTACTTATATTATATCAACATAATATAGCGTTAACACATGAATCTGCATATTGGCAGCAGAAGGATATGATGCAGGAGTGTCTCAATGTTTTCCTTGATATTCCCAGTGGCTCGATAGCCAAGTCACTTCGGAGGTTACGTTTAAAATAAGGAAAATCTTTGGAAATTATAATGAGGTTCGGATTAATTTAAGTTAGCGCTTTAAAACTGCTTTGCTGTTGTAGTAGGCGACTACAAACTGAAGTCAAAAGAAAGGCTAAGGTTTTATCCATCTTCATACGGAACAATTGTTTTATATCTAATTTTTACGAATATTTCTCAGTGGTTAGATTTTTTTTTACAGACATTGTACAAAAAATATTCAAAATGAATAAAGCATATTTACAACAAGTAAAATAATATAGGCATGTAGCAACAGGAGGGTCGTCCCCCTTCCATGTTTTCCCAAACATTAAAAATATTCATTCAAAGGCGCGTCCTTGCCCCATCTTCCATCTTTTGTTGCAGTATGGTACGTCAAATCATCCCATGGGAATGTACTATAATATAAAATATGTTTGTTGGAAAAGTTTTAATCCTCCCTTTCAAGAAATGAAAATGTGGAGTTGGGACAGCCCCTTTTTCCCCTTGTCAAAGATTGTTCAGATAAGTCGTCGATTCCCCCCCCCCTTTTTTTTTCAAAAGCGATACTACTGCATGTAATAGCTGAAAAAATAATGTAACATTCCACTGTTTATTCTGTGACATTCATGAAGCCAAAGAGATGACATTTATGGCTTTCTGGAAAGCCAAACTTGTTAGTCATCCTAAGCTTCCTCAGTCCTCGGTCGGAGCCTGTACTGCCATTTTGGTTGGCTAAATAACCCGACCCACTATTGTTTCGTAAATTGCCAACCCGTTTTTTTTTTTTTTTTTAAATACAGAACATTTAATTCTAATAAATCAGATCTTATTTCCTCTGGTAATCCATCACATTTTTTCAGACCAGCTGTACAGCATTTGAAGACAGAATAAAAAGATAAATATTTATTTATAATTGCCATGTCGAACCTCGTATTAGTCGATGCTGAAGAAAGAAGGTGATGAGGACGGAAATGCACAATTCATTTATTTTATTGATTAATCCTATTGCAAGTAATTTATGATAGTATCGTCATGATTTTTTCATAAATATGCAATACAGAATTAAAAAGTTTTGAAATTATTGGTAAATAAACATGATAAATGGCAATATTGATAATGTATTTTTTATCACCCTGTACACATACTGAGTGTAGGGCACTGTATTACAGTGTATCTGGTAGAGTTTGAAATGACATTTGTTTAATCATAAAATATACTCTTAAAGTGAAGAAATTGCATGCGTCTAATTAAATAAACGAGAAAACTATATGCATGGGTCCCAACTTGCATTTCATTCTGTGTTGGGGGTCTCTTAGCAATACCCAGAGACCTTATATATAGTAATATACTAACAAAATATTACATAATTTATTCGATATATACGCACCATCTTGTAAAATATTGTATCGTGTCATAGGAGTTGTTCTATTGCACACCTTAAACATATACATAGCCCAATCACCCTGTTGTATGTGTTAAATGTTTATGCATATTTATGTGTTATGTGATTTACATTTGTTGTGCAGTACTTATACATTGTTTAAAAGAATTTTTAATTATTTTAAAGATAAAGTCTTGGGTCACTGTATTTATTTTGGGGCAGACAATAGTCACTAATTTAATTTAGGGTACATGTACATCAGAAATTCAATTTGTGTCTAGTGATTTAGTTGCTTTCAAATTGGCTTTTAGATCAGTCTCTACTCCAGTGGAGAGGATGATTACTCTTGATTCTGGAGTCAAAAGGTCAAAGTTATGATTGCGGGGTATGGATATGGAATGAAAAAGAGAAGATAATGAACAGTGATCTATTTCATAAAAATTATAAACAATACAAATCTTTGAACACTGCATAAACACAGACCCCCTGAAATTCCAGAGGTGGGATCACGTGCCAAGGAGGATTAAGCATCCCCTGTTGACCGGCCACACCCACTGTGAGCCCTATATATTGATCAAGTAGATGGAACATTCGATAGTCAAATTTAGCATATAAACAAAGGCCTAACAATTGGTATGAAGCAAGTCAGCCAAAATACAACCCAGTGATAGGTTATATTTGCTAACAGGTAAATCTTTGTACACCCTTGATTAAAACTGGATAACAAATCTTTATTTCCTATATAACCTAATAATTTCTCTGTAAACCCAATTCCACTAATATTTTAAACTATTGATTTACTACATGCTTCAATACATCGTGACATCATGTTGTATGGTGTTTATTTGATATAGAAACTATTCTTTTTGATGTCACATTATTTAACCCCATCCCAGCTTTAGCTGGGTGTAAGGAAATTTACACCCCGCTTGCTAACCAATCAGATCTCATGTTTTAAGATACATAGGAAATAATTAAGGACTTTTATTGAAGGATATATAAAGATTTTTCAATCCAAAGAAACATGAATTATATCAATTGAGGCAATGAAATTATAATTATTTTACCAAACTTTTTCATTATTTCATAAATATCTCTAAAGCTTTTGAATATGGTCCATGTATACTGCCCTACTCATCTGCAAAAATGGGTACAAAACTGGTTGTTACAAAGAAACTTGGAAGAACGTGCACATGGACTACTTGGGAGCTACTTCACAGTTAGATTACTTTTTCTGTTTAACACGACAAAATGCTATAATGGTTACAACCAAGAGATTTACTTGAAATACTTCACTTATATAGTAGCATTTATTATCTTGATACATCAGCTTTGTATATTTATTAGTATGATTGCAAATAGAGGAACAGGCAGGCACATATGCTAAAGTGTTCCTTCACTTTGATTTTTTAATTATTTTAATAGATACTACATATTTTTGAAACATATTTTCTGATCTGTTCCTAGAACGAATCATAAAATTTATAAATGAATGAACTTCTTTTCTACAATTTCAGTACTGTCCAGTAAATGAAGCCAGGTTTCTCAAACTTTCCATTTTGACATTTCTGATCAATTTAAATTTATTTAAATTATGTATATAATATATTGTAGTTGAATACATAAAAAGAGTTGGTAAAATGTATATAATTATGAACTTTTAACTAATTGTTAATTTATTTTATTTAAATTATATGTAGTAATTGATTAATGAGTGGTTGGTTGTTTAGAACTATAAAAGTTTGCATCAAAATGTGAAAACTTGTTGGTGATTCATATGAAATTCATCAAATCCTAAATAAGAAACATGCACAGTCAAACCTCATTATCTTAAAATATATGGAACTGAAAAAACTTAGAGATATAGGAGTATTCAAGATATCGAGTGTTAATTTCTTAAAAAATAAGTGGTTCGGACTTCCAGTTAACTTTGACATATCCATGGCATTCAAGTTATCAGTGCTTGAGATACCAAAGTTCAACTGTATTTAAATTTTCAGTGACTGAACACTTTTGGAATGCATCTGATACACCTGCACAAACAAAAGTTTCTAGAAAATAAACACTTATTTAAAATTGCAGTGCTTTCTCCTGAGAAATATTAGGATTCAAGGAGACTCATTTATAAATATGAATGACTAAAAAGGGTCAATAGTTCAATGCTGTAGTTCCTTATTCTAGCTTGACATTTGATTTTTGTTGTTGTTGTTGTTGTTTAACATCCCTCTCGAGAATTTTTCACTCAATGACATATGGAAATGCTACCACTTGCTGGTGGAGAGTTGCAAATTTTGACTTGTACTCGGCACTCAGGGCCATTGAGCAGTGAGGGATCTTTTTCGTGCCAGCACCTACTGCGACACTGGACCTCGATATATATGGTCTCATCCGAAGGACCGGTCTCCATGTCCTACAGTGGGATTCGAACCGACGGCATAAGGATAAACTCCTTACTCCGCAACTCTAGAGCAAATGCTCTAACCACTGCGCCACACAGGTGACGCTTGACATTTGAAATTCAAAGTAAAAACATTAATGTTTTATACACAATTTATAATACTCTAATGCTTCATATATGGGCAAAATGTAACATGAAAAAGTATAATATTTTATCATCTATGGGATTATAGTCATATGTTGTTACCTACCATAAAGCCCTTTGGAATCCATGGGATTTGATCACATGACCAACCTGTATCTATAGCCCCCTGGTAATTTTAAAGGGGATAGAATAAATGTGTCGGAAATACTTAAGCTTGTCCCTTAATAACCAGTCCTTTGGCTATAATATCTAAGTTTTCTTAGCTTTAAATCAAAAGAAATTTAACTGAAAAATCCAGCTGTTTTACAAAAATTATACAGTCATGTATCTTTATAACCAAGTTGATTTGTAAAGGCAAAAAAATCAAAAATGTGCAGATAGTGAAAACAATTACAGGGTATGCGATATATGGTATAGGTCTAATTGGCGACTAATTAAGTCGCCATAGCACCTAAAAATTATGATTGATGCCTAAAAATTTTCTAGAATTCGCCAAATTGGCGACCATTTTAAATTGGCTTGGTGATCATAAAATTACTGAACTATAAACATTTTCAATTTTTTTTTATAAAGAGCCGAAAAGAAGCAATAGACATGTCTCTAATATTGACTAATATCAGTTTTTAGATTTGTGCCTAAGAAAAATTTACCTGGCGGCTGAAAATTTGCATTTGTGACTAAATTTTTTTTTCATAAGGAGCCAGTTGGTGCCTAAATTTTAGAGGTCACATAGAGGCCTGTGGTAGAGTCAACATATTTAGTGCATGTTTATCAATTTACCAGTCGCCACGTGGCATAGAGTATAGAACTTTTGCTCCAGAGTTGCAAAGTAAGGAGTTGGTCCTTACTTCATGGGTTTTAATCCCATTGTGGGACCTGAAAACCGGTCCTTTGGATGAAACCGTATAAGGTAGGTTCTTTGTTGCAGTAGGTGTTTGCACAAAATATCCCTTACTGCTAATATAAATGGCCATAAGTGCTGAGTTCAGGTCTAATTTTGCAGCCCTCCACAGGGAAGTGGTGGCTTCTTAACATGAGTAAAAAATTCTCGAAGGGACGTTAAATAAACTACAGTAAAAAATCATTTTACCAAGGAGAGAAATCAATTGTTAATAAAGAGAATATCATGTTTGACATAAACAAAATAAAATATGAAATCTATTTCAATTTGAGCAATATTTTTCAAATCTAAGAATTGTCGAAACTTCCTGAGGTATTGATTATTTTTAACTCTTTGAATGAATGGGATGTTTGAAATTCTTTGGAATCTTGACTTATTTTAAGTGCATTATAGAAGACTTATAAACTTTGTCTCAAAGAGCAGCAGTATTTGGTTTATGTGACTACATAGGTAGTGCATATAGTCAGTGACAATTACTCCTATAAGAGGCTATCAAGTCATTTCCTCTGAGGCATGGAGATCAAAGTCACCTGCATGGTGCAATGGTTAGAGCATTTGCTTTAGAGTCAAGGAGTAAGATGATCCTTACATTGTGGATTCAAATAGCAGAACATGGAGACCAGTCTTTGGAGGAGACCTTATAAACTGAAGTCCTGTGTCGCAGTAAGTGCTGGCATGAAAAAGATCCCTCAGTGCTCAAAAGCCATAAGTACTGAGTACAGTTTTAAATTTGCAGCCCTCCACCAGCAAGTGGTGGCCTTTTAATATGAGTGAAAAAACATGGAGATCAGTTTTGTGTTTTGAAGATGAAAGGTAAGGAACATTAAATGAATTGAAGTGTGCAAAAGTATTTATACTAATCTCGAGTTTTACAACAACAAACATAAACAAAATCCATTACCTTAATATTCCATTTATAAGTTTCTGAAAGTTTGTTAAGTTATAAATACTGAGTACGGTTGGTCTTGTTTTCTTGTTCACCACTGCTTTTCAGACCCATAAAACCTAACCATGATTTTCCAAAAGAATAGAATATTTTTTTTTTTAAATTTTGCTTTTCCATAAATTAAAGATTTGCATGCATGCTACTTTTTTAACAAGTTAATCTACTGCTCCATTTCTGAAAACTATGTCAAAGGAACTATACAAAAGAATAGGAACTATACAAAAGAATAGAATTTTTTTTTTTTTAAATTTTGCTTTTCCATAAATTAAAGATTTGCATGCATGCTACTTTTTTAACAAGTTAATCTACTGCTCCATTTCTGAAAACTATGTCAAAGGAACTATACATTGTTTTCGATTCCAAATAAAAAGTCTCTACAATGAAAAAGTGAGGAATCTAAGATTGTCATGTGAAGATAAATGATCGAAATTTTAGTTTCCCTTTTCAGTAATTTTGGCTCTTCCCTCTGTAAATTCTAAATTTACAAACTGCCATTTTTAATAATCCTACCTTAATTCGTGTGAATTAATTTAACAAGTGCCATGTATCATTGCTTGTACAAGTGTTTTGTCATTAAAAAAAAATCTTGGGGGGAGGGGGGGGGGGGGTGTGTTAATTATAAGCAAGCGTTTTGTCAACAATTTAATGTCACCTAAAAACCTGAAAGGCTTATAGAAATGAACATGGTATAAACATATGTTTTCCGTTCTTATCATTTCCCCTTCTTCATTGACAGTTTTCCTCAATTACACGATTTTAAGTAGTCAAATGAGATCTATCATTTATCTGTTTATGTCTTTTCCTATTAATGTTCGTATATGTCCTATCTGTTTACATCTACATGTAAGTACAGATACTAGCATTAAAATTCTTTGTTAAATGTCTGTTTTTATCTAAGATTATTTATTTTTCATTAATGAAAACAACGTTTAGTAAATATACTGTGAATACTTACATATTGAGACGTAAAAGTCAAGACCTTTCATCATTTCCGCCATTCCTATGCGCATGCATCAGTGCGCATCGGAAATATCCTGTTTGGATGCGCGCGCATCAGCGCGCGTCTAAAATATCAAATGTGTGTTATGGCAGACGATAAAAGTGTGTGATGGTGTAACACAATTTCACATCTTACTATTCTTCTGAGGACTTTCACCAAATTTCACCACGTGATGTAGTTCGATATTTTGTGACGATACAAGCAATTTTTTTCCGAGGACGTGGAAAAAGTCCTCGGAAGAAATTTACGTCCTCGGAGTAAAGGTGTTTTTTCACACCATAGTCCTCGGGAGATCGGTGAAACCAACACACCCTCACACACACACACACACTCTCTCTCTCTCTCTCTCTCTCTCTCTCTCTCTCTCTCTCTCAAAACAGTTGCTAGGGGTTTTGAAGGTATTGAAAAAATCACCACGTCTATTTGTTCAAATTCGTGTATGCATACACAATTTTGTACAGTGATTATATCTAAAAACTTCTTTATTCTTCAAGTTTTGTAGAAACTATATACCGTTAAAAAATGTAAATCCTGTATATTCAGATTGCTACGTCCAAATCATATAAACAGAGAAGCCTTTTAATATTTCATCGTAGCGTCTTTGAAAGGAATAAGAATTAAAAAAAATGTTTATCACTCTGAAGCCTTAAAACTAACTCTTCACCGGTATAAGGTGACGCCTCAATATGAGTGAAAAGTTCTCGGATGGGACGTAAAACAACATACAATCAAACAAATTATAATAATAAAAGTATAGATTACTTTTCAGAAGGCCTTCAACCTTGAGATCAATTATAGTGTAAAATGATAATTCTTAATTCTAGCATTTTTATTTTCTTCTGAAACAATTGCAAAGTTTCTTGGGCAAAACATTATATACTTGTTAAAGAAACGGTATAATTTATGTGACAATCATCATTCACTTTAGTTAAATTAGTTTTTATTGATAAACAAACGTTCCTATTAGCTTTTCAACGTTATGCTCCATGAAAAATTTCAATTTATCATTGTTTGATGACCAAGACCTTTGAGGTATGACTTTAAGTTAACATCAAAATTATATGATGTGACAACTGAAATTGTACATTCATTTATTGTTAAAAGTTAACGGATGGAACATTACAATTTAAAGAATATATAATAATACATAAGATGAACCATGACATCAAGTGCTCAATAATCAAAACGACTGTGTGATGTAGGATCTCAAAACACAAGTTGTATACATCTTTTGTCTGTCAAAAGTGTATTTTACAATTTTTCGAGAAAAGTCGCATTCCTTCTTGATTTCCTGATTTCGATAAATATTGGCAAGCCTTTAAAATATTTGGAATTACTTATTAAATTGAAATCGTTTTAAATATCATTAGGTCTTTTTCTCGATGCGAGTCATCCTATTCTTTAGGCTTGAAAGGTCGTCCTTGACTTCGGCCAAGTTTTTAGACACAGTGGATATATCGCTTTTTAGATCGTCTTTCGCTTTAGTTAAGTTATTTTCTATGGATGATAAGTCGTTTTTCACGGATGCTAAGCCATTGTCCATTGTTGTTTTCATCGACTCCATCATTCTTTTTTCAAAGTCTTGAAACATAAGTGTAATGATTTGTAAATGTCTATCCTTCTTGTATTCATACTTAAACTTTGTAAGTTGACTGGCTGATAAGTTTAAACTTTTTAGAATATTTGAAATAGGGGTCATAAGACACGTTTTATGACTAGTAAAAGCCACAGCCATTCCAACACATTTTAGCATCGGCGGGCTTCCATCTTCTACAAGAAAAACAAACGAACCGGAATCCCCTTTTTTTATGAAATATTCACATCCAAGTGGGCGTATTTCTATCTGCCCGCTTAATCTGAATTCTCTTTCACTAACAAATCCCTCCTTTTGGTCTATTGAGGCTTCTGGGTGCATATAGTGTAGTTCTCCACGTGTTATTCCGGTAGTGGCACCGACTTTTAACACCTTGTCTCTTGTGAATTCAGAAACAAACGCAGTTTTACCATCGCAGAAGAACAGTGAGTCATGGTCTTCAAAGCCTTAAAAATTAACATGGAAATAAGCGTTAGAATAAAAACATAAATTTGCAAAGATTGCATACTTTTGATATCGACTGTAAAAAAATCTAATTTCGCTTTTTTTTCAAATTTTTATGTAATATTGAGTTTAACGAAAAGCTGAACAACTTATTGTTCCCAAGTCGCACAATATATGTAGGATATTAAGTTTCTTAAAATAAATCAGTTGACCTCAAATTTCAAAGCTCAATCCTTAAAAAGGGCTAAGAGAAATAATGAATTCCACTTGTTTCTTATTTCCCTTGATTTCCCTTTAAATTCACTTAATTAATAAATACAAGAATATTGTGAAGCATGCTAACAGTACGTATAAAGATATTTAAAATAAAACAAAATAATTCTTTCAATTTTGGAAAATGCAATTTTATGTATTCATTCTATTGTCATAGATTCAGGGAAAAAAAAATCTGCGTGAAGAAAGGTTTTCATTGAAGGGGGAGGGGGGGGGGGGTGACTGGAGTTTTTGTTTGGGCAATATTTCGTGCAGGATAGTGAAATAAAGCATATTTGCAATTATTTTCATATAATTAATAATATTTCACAACATTAAGAAATCAAAGGTTTAGAAACTTAGCTAAAACGAGGCAAGCCATTGACAAGTTGATGAAACAAGGTTATCAACAGTCCTGTTAAAATTCATCATTTCGCGAGTTCTATGATCAACACAATGACCGTGTCAACATATACAATCTATCATTAAGTCGAATGATGGCTGATGTTTTTTATACTAATTGTTAGGCCATTATTTAAACACCAAATTTCTACAGATTTTACGTTTCATGACAATGAGTACACGGCGGGTCCTGATCCCGCCTCTGAGGTCCGTGTTTGCTCTGCTCTAAATTTTATTGTTTCAATGGACGTGGTGAGATTGATTACTGTCTGTTATCTTCATATTTCGTGTACACTAAAGTCAGTGTAAGGTACTATTGACATCAAATATATGTCTCTCTCCATTGTGGTTTTCAAACAATAAAACCCCAGTCCGCTCCCTTAATAATTCGCTTCAAAGGCCTTTACAAATTTTCTTTGATATTCTGTGCATTCTAGTTAACAAAAGAGCAATTAAAAAGTGAAAAAGTCATTTAAATGTATTAACATAATGCAAGTTTAGAGCAGTATTTTTTTTTTTTATCAAAATATACCAACCCGCTTGCTGCAGACTTTCTTGAGTAAGATTTTTTTCAGAGAAATGTCCAGTTTCTGGAAATTTATCTTTTTCGGTCAATTCCACTAAAGCAGCATCGATGCTTGTGTTACTAGTTTCGTGCAAATTAAAGACTCCTTGAAGCGCTATACCGATTTCCTTTTGTCTGCCATTTTCTTTTAGAATGCTTACAGAAGGTTTTGTGTTATAGATGTAATCTAAAATTGAAGATGGATTCTCAGATGAAGGACACACGACATGTGCACATGTTATGAATCCCAGGCGATTGTCGTCAATATTAATGAATCCACCTAGTGTCCCAAAGCTTTTATCACCGGTTGGTTCTATTCTATCCCCCATCCTTAAACCTTCATGTCCAGCAGCAAAGGATACAACACTTTCTCGAACATCTACCTGAAAACCGCCTATATGTTTGGGAAACATGCTTTCGCCAAAAGGAATTATTCCCTTTACCCTGCAGTAAATCACAACTGTCTTCATTTTGATTGGTGGCTTTGGGCTTGTTGAATCATATCCTATAGATTTCACACTTGAAGCTGATATAAGCGTAATGTTACTGTGTGTTTCCATTAAAACCCGTATATCTGTTTTACTTATGTGTATAGATGACAGATTTTCATTTTCATAACGCATCATTTCAATGGCTTCTTTTGAGAAAGAGTTCACGTTTCTAAAATAAACATCGATACCAAGATATGTTTTCATATCTATTTCTCCTGCATTTAGTCCCTCCGATACGACAACCAATGTGTCAAAGCTGCTTAAAGATTTCTGATTGTATAAAACATTAGAACATCTGCAACCTGCCCAGACGGAATGGATGACTACCATGGGTTTTATACATTTTATGTTGGATTCTAACTTCTTGCATATCCCATTTCCAATTGATTTCTGAATTTTTTTGGATGAAATGAGCAAAATTTCATGAAGTATGAAAGCAAGCCATTCATTCGAAATTTGCAGGGGAAAACGAAATGCAACTCTAATGTACCAAGATAAGATCTTTGGATTACTTAAAGCAATTTCGATTAAACGTTCTTGGAAATTAGTGGAAGTATTCGTTTCGTATTTTGCAAAATAAAAGAGGTTGTTATAGAAGCTAGAAATTTCGTTTGTTTTCATTAAGATATCTACGTTAGCAGAAATCTGAAACTGTGTGTCAAATTTACCCGTTTCTCTCTGAGAACTTACTGCCAAATCAAGATATTCATAAGTTTTCAAAGATTCTAGCAACCTAGACTGGTACTGAGACATGTCATGCCAGACCATTCTGAAAACACACTGAGAATGCCTCTTTTTGTATTCTCTTATCAATTTCATTACAATGTCCTCATCTTTTGCCATAAATGCAATATCAAGAGCAGTTAAATTATCAAATGTTGTTGAGCGAATATCGAAACCTTCCCCTAACAGAATTTCAAGTGCATCTCCAGCTCTAGATTCACAAGCACAATGTAGTAAGTTATATCCACGAATGTCTTTCCGATATTTGAGAGAAGGTAAAGTTTTCAATAGGTATCGTAAAATTTCAGAATTTCTGTTGTAACATGCAGTGTGAAGAACAGTTTGCCTGTCCAACGAAATACAGTTAGTATCAAAACCATTGTTTACTAAAAACTTAATTACATTCAAGTCTGCATTCATTGCTCCAAGAAGCAGTGGCAATTTTCCTTCGATATCACGCCTTTGCATCTCCACCGGGAAGTTATCACATATGTACTGTATAACATGAACTGAGCTTTTCATACATGCAATGTGAAGAATGCCTTGGCCAGTATTTGAACTTTGTTGGTAGTAACATTCTAGTGAAATAATATATCTGACGACTTCAAGGGATTTGCTGCAAACAGAACACAGCATTGGATCAAGTCCATCATTGTCGATTGTGTTGAGAAGATCGGGATATTTTGTAGCTATAAATTTAACAGTTTCAATGTTTCCTTCCTTGCATGCTCTGTGCAATGCATTTTCTCCATTTGAATTACAATCACTTACTTTGTAACCTTGTTCCGATAAAAACATAAGTATTGCACTACTTCCGAAAGCAGCTGAATATAGAATTATATTGTCTTCGTTTATTTTATAATCCCTTAGTTTGGGAAAAGTGTTGAACAGATATTTAAATGCATCTAAACTCTTACTCATACATGCAGCATGCAAAACACTTTCTCCGTTTCTTGAATACTTTTCAATCAGAAATTCAAATTTCGTTAAAAGTTTCACTGCTTCAAGATGTCCTCTCCTACAAGCCTTATGTAATGGATTTAATCCATGTACATCTTCTGATTGAACGATGTCTGGGAAATGTTCTGATATGTATTCTATCACGCTGTAATATCCATGGTCACAAGCAAGATGAAGAATATTCTCATCTTTCTTTGTTCGTTCACGTGCGTCCACTGCAAGGGTGTGTATCAAAAATTGAATTACATCCACTTCTTTATTTAAAGCTGCATAATGCAAAATGGACATGTCTCGAAACGCCTTAATCGATATCTGCGTTGGGTATTTATGGTGTATCCAGTCAACATCAGATGCCCTACCATTCCTTGCTAAAAGATGCAATACTGTCTCATTCCTAGCAGACCGTTCGTTTGGATCTAAACCATTTTGAACAAGAAGTTCTATCATTTCTTTTGATCCACTCATTGCTGCATAGTGTAAAAGTGAATATCCTTCACCGTCTTTTAAATCCCGTGCAAATGTTCTATGGTCTTTCATTAAATGGGACATTAGAGATAAATTATTAGCTTTCGTCGCTTTGAAACAAACTAGGTCAAAGATATCCCTTTTTAATATTTCGAGGTCCTCAAGAAGTGTAAACATTTCCACCGACCCATTCTCAGATACTATGGAAATAATGTCTTGATTCTGAAAAGTAATGCACATAGTTTTCTTCTTTAGGTAACTTGCTACTAATCTCATCAGGTTTATGTTGTTCACTTTTATTATTGCTGTAAGGAAAAAACCTTGGTTAGAAGCGTTTAAATTGACGACTGAGTTTTCCAATTTGTGAGTTTCAACGCATACATTCAGGAATTTTTCATTTGACCATTGGTCTAGATCTGCAATATACCCAAAGATGTCATGTGTAATTCTAAATTGTATGTCAAATGCAATGCGGTTTATAATTGCACTATTAATTCTGTAGATGTAATGATCCAAATAGCAAGTTAGATCTTTAGCCTTGTTTTCAAGAAAATGATACATATCATATGGTGCAAACTGAAACACAGTTTCGGGATAATTTTCAAGAATGGTTGACGCAGTGATATGGAAGACATTCTCGTGCAAAAAATAATAAATCTCTTCTCCTTCTTGAAAACATTTTGCGAGATACACATCTGACAGCCAGTCTGCTACTTCCACTGGGTTTAGACAATTTCTAGTAGCACCCCTTGTCTTTGACATATTAATTAAAGTAATCATTGAATTTAAAAATGAATTTTCCAGACACTGATCTTGGAAGATGTTGCTTCTTAACTTTCCTCCATTGATACAAACAAATGCCAAAATAGTGAAAAATTCTGGCTCAAGGTTTGCAAGTGCTGTTGCTGTGATGTCGTTTGAGTCAAGTATTTTAGTTTTTGGATTTGCATGATGTACACTCTTAATCTGACAAAATCTCGGGAATCCAAATTGAGAACTTGAATCAAATAAAGCCATTTCATTCGCTTCACTGTCAATGCCGTATAAAGTAAGCATTTTAGATTTTTCGTCTTTAGAAAGCGCATATACATTTCCCGGACTAAGATCAATAATATTATCCATTGAAATTCCTATTAAATTCTCTAATTGTGGTAAATAACACTGCAAAATCTCTTTTCGAAGCACCAAAATAACTTTATTGGTATAAGGAGAGTGTGTTTTTATATTTTGTGATATTTCCGTTAGATGACACCAGAGATTTTGTACGTATTCAGCTGTAAATATGTCTTGACCATTAAAATTTTTTACCAATATGACAAGATTTTTCTCCGGAGAAATGCATTTTTTCCAGTCTCGGTGGCTTTCCACAACGAATGGTCTCACATGCTTTATTTGCATAAATCTTTGGAGGCATTTATAAGCAATAAATGTTTTTCCATCTCCGGAGTTACCTGTTACAATAGCCACGTTTTCTATTTCCAAAACATCAAGTAGAGCTTTGTACGCCTTTGTTGCCAGGAAAGGTACCGTGTGCAAATTTCTCAGTTTTTGTTTAGTTGATTCTTAGAAAAATATGGAGAAATTTGCATTAAACTGTATAAAGATGTCATTTAATAAATTGTTTCTACACATAAATAAACAGAAAATATTTTAAAATAACAATACATAAAACATCTTACCGATACGCTGACGTAGGATTTCGTCAACCATTGGACGTCTTTTGTGATCATAGAATGGTAATTCTGCCGGCACTTCATTTGACGTTGACTCCACAGTTGTCTTCAAACTACTAACTCGTGAACTTGAATCCGACCTTGAACAGAGATGTACATGCGCAAGAAGATAAACAATTATAATTCTTCAGGTGTATAGGTAACGTTCAGGAAATCAGTCAGGATAACATAAAGAAATATATTTGTAATTCAGTAACCCACCCAGATATTATCTGTCTTCCTTTCAAAATCCTGCCCATCGTGGATGATCTCCGGGTTTGATGGGTAGACGGCGAATACTCTGGTTCAGTGTAAAAACTACCAGTTGGGGACGTGGAGAGTGATTCTTCTTGTTCACTGTACATTTTTATAAGTATAATTAAGTTTTGCATGCAAATACCCAAGTTTTGTACTATGTACATGCAAACAACTTCAATTACTTATCTATATAATGTCTGCCTACTATTCTAGATTCTGCTTTGGGCAGATTTACTTCTAAATGGAAACGTGAAACATGATCCGTCTGGTTTTCTGTATTGTTTCATTTTACACATAGTACATGTGCATGTTTCATTGACTTTAACATTAAAATAACAAAGAAGTTGTTGAGCACGTCAAAACTCACCCAAATTGTGACTGACTGCTTCCTAACATTCCAGAAATCTTATGCGGCATTAGGGGTATAAATTCAGGTTCTCTATGATTGTATGAAGATTTAAAAAATCGTTTGCATCTTCTCTTAAAATATATGTTATGGCTTTTTTGATATATCCCCAAACAATTTTTTGGATTTTCTCACTGTTTTTGTTTGCTTTCCTTAATTTTTAATTTAGTTTTTCCTACACTAGAAACTTAAAACAATATAAATGTTAAATGAGATAATAAGTGTTGAAGCTCAAGGCATGCAAATTCATGAATATGAAAGCTGCAGCAAATACCCTCTCGTATAAAAATCCATTTGTTTGTAAAATAAATATTTAAGACTTTTTGTTTTTTAGAAACTCACCTAACTGACGGTTGAATGCCAGACAAGTCCCTCTTAATAATAGTTCGATTTATTTCCCCGTCAAACTTACTTCTCTGAGACAAATACTGATCCATACTTTTTTCTCCTCACTTTCTTCCCTCCTTTTGATATCTTAAGACGAAAAAAAGTTTAAGAACGTGAATTTATTTACTTAAATAAATGAAAATTGTTTATCAACTAATCAAAAATGTTCCCAAACATGACCAAAATTTGATGTGATAAATGTTACATTAATTGATTTACTATATATATATATATATATATATATATATATATATATATAT